GCGGGGGCGTGGGGGGGGGGGGGGGGCTCTGAGCCCTCGGTGGGAGGGTCCAGTCACCAGGGGGCAGGTGCACTTGCTGGGGGTGAGCAGGGGGCTACGGGGGGAGGGGGATGGCGCGTGGGATCCATGGGGCTGACTGAGGGTCTCTCTCTGCAGTGTCCAGTGATGCTCTTGGCCATGTACCACTACACCACGTTGTGATGGTCTCTCCACACTGCTGTGGGGCAGGGCGCCCCGAACTCGCCGCCTGCAGCCTCAGCACTGGGGGGGAAAAACCCGCCCCCCCGGGCAGATCTCTGTGTAAAAACACCCAACCCTGCTGCCTTTTTAATCTCATTAAAGCCCTAGAACACCTGTCTTGGTCCGTGTGCTCCCTGGGGCAGGGCACTGAGGGCTGGCTGTGGCTTGCAGGCTGCTGGGCAAATCCCTGCCATGAATCTTTCGGCAACACCCAGCGTGGCTGGCACCACAGGGGCTGCCCGACTCTAGTGGGAGGCTGGGCCTGTGGGGCCCCCCCCCCCAAATCTGTGGAGCAGGCAGGTGCAAGGGGACAGCCTGCAGCACAGTAAGCTGCTAGCTGTGGCAGGTGGTGCTGTGTTGGTGTCTTTTTCAGAGGGAGGGCTGGGCTGGGGGGCTCCAGAGCTGGGGCCTGGCTCCCTCTGCTGCCCACTGACACCCCGTTCCCACCACACACAGGCCAGCGGGGGCTCACACTGCTGGGAGCACCCAGTGCTGGTGCCAGCTGTTCAGTGGCATACGATCCTCCCCTGCCCTCAGGCAGGGGGCTGGAGAAAAGGGCCCGGGCTGGCTACCCGGAGCAAGCAGAGAGTCCGGGGTCCCTCTAGCTCTAAGAAGGGGCTAGGCTGTGGCTGGGAGTTGGGGGGGGGGTCGCAGGCCCCCCACTCCCCCCCGCCTATTTCCCAGGCAGTCTGGGGGAGGGGGGAGTTGGACTCAAGGGCCCAGGCCATGCAAGGGAACAGTGTGTGAAGGGCTATTACGTGAGTCCTGGCCCAAACGGGGAGAGGGTTGCGCGCCCCACCCCCGGGGCAGAGGAGAGCCAGCTCCAGCTGGGAGTCAACCTGCACCCAGAGCCCTAGGCTAGGGGACACCTCCCCTCATGCTCAGTGCAGCCCTAGCACTCATTGGTGGGTGCGGTTGGGAGCGGGCAGGATTGGCTCTGGGATTGGCCATGCCCCTCCACCATGACTCCACAGGCTCACTGCCCTGGGGGGCAGCAGCTGCCAACCTTCTTCGCCCCCCCCCCCCCCGCGCACAGTGCGTGTCCTCC